TGTATATGTACTGTTATCAAATGTATTTATCAGGCTTCGCGTAAATTTAGTATTGTGTATTTATCAGCTTAGAAAAATTAATAATAACTGATTTTAAACTAAAATAATTAACTTTTTTTTTCGATAAAGAAATTAAAATTACTTAAAAATTAACTTTTTTTTTTAGATTAATTCAACGTAACGATCTGAAAAAAAAWAGTTAACTTAGCCAGGCTTAAACAAACTTTGCATAATCTTATTTTAATCATGACTGTAAATATTTTCATACCTATGATGTTTAAAAATCATTATTATTATTATTATTATTATTTATTAAAAGTTCACTGGTTTTCATCTTACTTCCTATAGTTGGTGATTTTGAAAGATACACGTTTTTGCACGRCAGTTTAAAGTACTTTTGTTTGTAGTTTTTTAGATCACTGTTTCTTGTACATATTTATATTCAAATGACAATACATAATTGTATTTCCGTGTTCAGCAACAAAAGTACTTTTCTAAACATTTTGCTGATTCACAGCAGCGTTGAACAATTGTCATTTTTTTTTTAATTTACATCAACCCATAATTTAAAGTTTAAACGAACGACGCTGTGCTGGTCTTCTCSTTTGAAAACATATTAGWTAGAAACTTMCAAATAAGATTTTATTATACTAACACAAATTAATCGGCATCCTGCGCATATCGAATGATGATTTCACAAACTGTGATTTAGTGTRAGATAGTTTAATATGTCGGCCATCGTATGTTACTTGAAAAAGTACCCAAAAATTATAAAATATTATTATAACATATAATATTATTCAAGCAAGTATATCATCGTTACACAAATTTATCAAATTTATAATAATCATATTAATTTGTGCGACGACTTCGGGTTGTTGAATTATTGTATACTCACACACCTATGGCTGAAATGCATTTTAAAATATCCCATTAAATGTTTAAGACGTCCGTTTCCGTTAAGTGGGTGAGCGAGTGTGTGTGTGTGTGTGTGTGTGTGTGTGTTTGCGATAAATATAATATAATAATATATAAAACAAATAAATCGTCACGGGACGACGATTTAATCTATTCTGTGACGATAACACGTCTTGACATTACGCAGCGTGGCCGTTTCGATTTTACGTATATTGTGTTGGTACATATTATATGATTCGTTTGCACACACAATGCACATAATATAATATTATTTTTATCATTATTATACGCATGGTAGGTTTATATAAAATGCTTATACATATACAGTGCATAACCTTCTTCTGGCACGGAAACGTTATTGCATTACTCCGAACACCACCCATCACCGCAGACATAATATAAGTGAATTAAATTATAYGGAGTGATCTGTGGTTAAAAATCCGACGATTTTTTTCCATTTCCCCCCTTTTTTTTAACAAACTTCAGTCGAAAAACGATAACAAACCTTTTTACTGGTCGTTATTTTTCTCTCTGGGATCAGTCGTTTCAAATTTCTCTGTCATATAAATTATATTTTAATGGTAATTAATTTAATAATAATGTAATACAGATATAAGTTGTTATATTTATTTTTATTAATATTCGAAATTGTATTATAGAACTTTATAATTTTTGATGCTACCAAATCTGCATTACATCCCGATAGTAAATCATACCAGGGATGTATAAGCATATGCTTACATTTAAAGTGTTATTTTTTGAATTCTGTTCACGTTTTAACTGATTACAAAATGAACAAATATTATATTATAGTTCACACCTCTATATTATAATTTATTGTAGTTGTTATTTTGAATATCCAACWTTTGTGACGCTAAATTTCATTGCTTATACTGTTTACAACTTATATTATATTGTCAACGTGATAATAGTTAAAAATATTTTTACACGTCAAAAATACCATACAGAAAATGTTTAAACTTCCATGTGTAAAACGAAACTCATACATGAACCACCCAATAGTGACTCAGTAGCTTAGAACTTCAATCTACTGCAGGGTCAAGCGAAGAACACTCCTCAAATTTCAAAAAATACGTATGCCAAGTAGATCAGTAGATTCTGATCTTCTAATGATAAAACATGCAACGCAAAATATAATATATAGTACCTATAGTTCACTGTATGAAAAATAATTTAGACGAAAAAAAATTTAAGCCAGATAAAAATTGTTTTTCCCTTTTAGATCACATAATACCTATTTGTAATTTGAGGAATTTCTAAAATTCCGAATTTGGGCGTCATTTTTTTACGCACTGTCGTAAATGTCTTGTGAATACTGAATAATGCATGTGAATTCCTAGACGAAACATGAAATTTCAATAATAACGCATACCACATATTCATTTGTTGACAGTGTCTAATTGTCATCAATGTTGGTAACTCACATATTATATTATAAAGGTATAAGCCTATTGTCCATATTATATTGGACATTGCATTAAATTGCTTTCAGCCCAAGTAGGTCTGGCAAACACTATCGATGTTAAAACAGTCTAAGTTGTTCATTCGCTGATATATTGTAATTACATATTGTCTATTCCAACGATATGTATAAAACGGGATCCGTCGTCGTCGTTTAAATTCACTGCGCACATGGACAGTTGCGATTGGTTTTAGATTGCAATTCATGTTGCATAAGTATAATTTCAAAGGTCAAACAAATGAAAACTTGACAATTCACTTATCACTATCACACGTTAGAGAACCTTACACGGTCACAGAAGTTTTTGGTTATTGTTGTGTTCTCTGGTTAGGACGTATAGTTGATAACTATTGGATCATTACGCGACTTTGCATCAATAAAACCACAAAACGTTTTGGTTTGACCGTAAATTTCGAAATCCAGTGAATCCAGTTCTATTAAAAAAATAGTGGTATACCAAAATTCGAATTTTTAATGGCATTAGAATTGGCGGTTACTCGTTTTTCATATACACAATAAATTTGAATCGAATTTTACTGAGTAATTTATATACATAACAATAAAATATTATCTAACTTAATACACAAAAACAGCCATGAATGTATATATTACGCCAATATCGTAGTACAATATATAATATTAAGCTACGTGCAGCAAACTATGATTTCCCTCCCCTCCCCCACCGTTATAACATTATGTTCAGCAACATCAGTTGAGCACAGAACTTTTGTTTATCCGCATRTCAATAGATATAGAATGAAAACCATAGTACACTGTACATTCAGACTTTAGTGTTTGGATTTGCAGTCGTCTAAAGGTACCAAAGTTTGTTTTGTCAAATCGTACACCGCCGGGAGTTTGTATTTTCATCTCCGAGTGCAAATAGTAATAATAATAATAATAAAAATAAACCAAAAAGAAAATATCGGAAAAAAAATGTTTTTCCTTCCCCCTCACGCCGTGACCTAGTTTTTGACGATGATTAAAAATCTATTGTTCTTTTGTTTGTTTTTCTGGTTTGAGAACTTTATAGTATTCAATACGGCGATGATTAAACGCAAAAAAAACAGTAGATTAAAAATAAAAATAAACTTCATTCGTTAATCCGTCAACGCTAGCGAGTCCGACAAACGGAAATAATTCGAATTGTATTCACCGGTGCGTTACCATAATTGAAACATCGATTGGATTGCAGTGTACCTATAGAGTTACGCGAAGGTGGTGTGGGCGACGGAGTCTGTCGCCGTGTTTTAAAATAACGAGATTACGTTTGATTCGTTTGATTTTGTTCCACACTCGGCATAATAATATTATAACACTCATTTTTACAAACGAAAACCAAGACCGGAAAAAAAAATAATGATACGATAAATAAACATTGTTCGATTCACAACAATATTAAGAAATACGTAAGCGTCGATCATCGCAACGTATTATATAAATTGCACATACATATATAATAACCAGTGTAAGTTTACGAATTTTACATCCAAAGCACCAGAAAAAACTTTTGAAAATAAATTTGAAATTCTCCTGAAGTTTCTAGAAAAACGATTTTCCATCCGTTTGACATTAACTATCTGACCTTTCAGAGTAATATTTTTAAATTTCTAATATTATTTATTCATTTATTTCAACGGATCCATAATATCCTGTTACAATAGTATAATTGAATAATTCAACAAATAAATTAATTTATTATACAATAATAATAAAATAACAACAATATTATGTAAATACGAAAAATTCCGATTACATAATTATTAAATGATTCGATTGATTTAAAACAAATGCATTTTTTTTTTTCAATTATCCTATTGATATTATTATATTTAACGGAAAATTAAAAGCATAATTTACGTTTTAATATAATTTTTGTTGTATTCAAGAGACAATAATTGAGTTAAAAATTTAAGAGCGTAGTTTTCAATTAAATTATAATATATTAACCCGAAAACGATAGAAAACTTACTCAGAGGCGGACACTATACACTGCAAGCGTACAATCGGTCATCATCTGCACCACCTGTGATATACGAATCAAAATCACACACGACGTCTAATTTACCAAATACCATAATTTCTGACAAAAACGTTGAAACGTTCTTAGCCTGGACTCGACTGCTACAACCAAGATATTCAAATGTCTTAAATTTTCTAACCTGTGACATAAAATATGAATTTCCATARTATAATTATTATTATTTAAATATTCAAGTAGTTCAAGTTAAATACTGTACCAGTATTTTATCGTTTCCAAAGGTCGATTGCGTTTGTCTAAATATACAAAAAATAAAAATAAAAATAAATACCATAATATACTTAGATATATTGTACACATAATATCATAGCGCGTAATATAATAATCTACCTAACGTTGGTCCATATACCAATAATAATTGTTACTTAAGTCGATAAAATGCATAAACGATATTATAATATACATGTAACATATTACATTTACATTTTAAGTACGTATAATCATATCTCAAAAACACTTATTTTTCTTAACATTTTAGATTGTTTTTTTTTTATATATATAAATATTATTATTGTTCCTTTTGTTCATCGTGTGATTTGCATAACAAATTTATTTCAGAGAACGCGTATTCACGAGGCAGAAAATTGGTTTCTACGGGCGAAAAAATTGGCTCCCGGCGATGCGTCCGTGTACAAACATTTCGGTCGGTATATATATATATATATATATGTGTGTGTGTGTGTATACTGTATACGTTATAAAATGCATTACGCACAGTATCAATAAAATTAATATTATAACGTATTGTCTCGTTTTCCTACAAAAAAATTCACCAAAAACAGCCAATAATATTGTCAAAGACAACCTGTGTAAAAAATGTTTGTCGGGTTTTTTATTCATCGTTTTTCACAGGAGTTTTTCTGCTGGAACAAGAACGGTATCCCGAAGCCGCTTCGCAGCTGGTGGAAGCCGTCGCGCTGGAGCCCGAAGACTATGACCTGACAGTGACGGCAGCCACCGCTCTCAGACAGGCGGGCGTGTCGCACCGGGCAGAGGACATGTACAGAAAGGCAGCCACACTCAGGCCACAAGTACGGCGATTTATAATAAATTCGTGTCGTTAACGTTTGTTKATTTTCATTTGCCCGCCGCGGAATTTGTGAGGGATCCAAAATTTATCGGCGATTGTGCGACGCGGGGATAACGGATGGATCTGTAAACGATGATTTGTAAACGTTTTAAATTAACCTGCACGAGCCCGGAAATTCGAAAGCGTAAGCGCCAGGGACTCTCAATTTTGGCGTTTCAACGATCCCATTCGGTACCCCGCCCGGACGTTTAGACGATTCGATATTATATTACATGCTATTATGCGAATGGCGGAACGATAGTGATCATTTCAGTATTTAATAATTAACACGTAAAAACACGAGCTGGTTTATTGTATGTGTCTTAGAACTATTATACAAGATCGGTACAATGATACAGCTAGCGTAAACAATAATAATTGTTGATTTTAAAATGACGCGAATGGTTTGTGTCATCAAACTTTGATTTTTAAATAAAAATGTTTTCATTTTTAACTTAATTTTTTCTTCTATTAGAAAAATCAATTTAGCTTACGTATAGTAAGTATAAGCCAAACGCGGTAGGTAACAGTTAAAATCAAATTTTTCCCGTAAATTTTAAGCGTAAAAAAGTTGTTCGAGTTGTTTACGATAACTATAACGATTACAAATGTTCTCCATTATTCTCRCAGTTCACGCCGATTTTTAAGACTCATATAAATATAATATGTTCACGTTATTATTATAATATACGGTCGCTTTTACCGTCCTCGCGATAAACTAAAGTTCGATTTTTATTTCRCCGTCGGAACGTCAACCATAACAACTCGACTGCAACGGCCGTAAACCCGATCGGGTCGTATAAAATATACTTTAAT